AATTTTATACCCCATAATCTTACCCCGCGTGGTAGGCAAAATATTTTCGTTACAACATTGTAAAACTGACGTGCACCCTATCCTCCATGATATAGCATGCTGATCGAGCCGTACAGTCTGTAGTCAACACCCCGAGGTATGAGCGGGAACACAAAGTGTATTACTACTCATACACTTATGAAACGCACCTGGCGGATTATAAGGGCCTTGACATTTTATACTTTTTTAATTTGCCTTGAGTGAAATCTTTCCTGTAAGCCTCTCTTGGCTAACTCTTGTTTTTTTCGACCCTGAATGGTTATTAACAAATAAGAAACGCCAAGGTATCGAAGACATAGGAGGTTTCATTCATATTTGTAGTGGAGTAGAGAAAGACAAGAGAGCACAAGTAGCGGTATCAATATTGATAAAAAAAGACTTAAAAGGAAATCTGAAAAACTGAGAACAAATCAATGAGATAATTATTAAAGTATCTATTATGTGAAAAGGGTACGATCTCGAGATCATTGGAATATATGCGCCATCAGAAAGTGCATTAAAAAAACAAATATTCTGCGAAATTTATGAAATAAATGAAAATGGGGAACATCCAATTCCAATTCTGCGAACAGCACTCTGAAAATCCTTAACGAATTCTACCATCATAAAAATGTACATGAGTATAACTGGATCCAACCAATGAGAAACACTTATACGAGAAGTCAATTATAGATTATTAATTACTATTTAACTGGGAATAAGCCACAATTAAAGATAAAACTACGTTTATTGACGTTAAAATGTTTATTATTTATGTTTATTACAAGACTAAACATATCGGCTATAATGGAGTTATTAACATTATGTACTGATAATACATATTTTCAACTAAATAATGAATTCTATAAACAAAATTTTGGTCTAGCAATGGGCTCTAGTTTATCTCCATTCTTAGCCGATATATTTATGGAAGATTTTGAAACAAATATCATTTCTAAACAAAATTTCAAACCCACCGTATGGTGTATTCTCAATATGGCCTCATGGATCAGAGTTGTTGGACACATTCCTAAATGATATAAACGATAAAGAAGAGACAATAACATTTACCATGGAAAAGGAATATTATAACACGCTACCTTTCCTGGATGTTTTAATCTCTAAGAACGATACTGGATATGAGACTCCGGTGTATAGAAAACCAACACACATCAATAGATATTTAAATTTCAAATCAAATCACAATATTAATGTAAAAAAGGGAATAATTAAATCCTTATACGATAGAGCCAAAATTACTTGTTCTAACGGAAATTCGTTCTTGGAGGAGAAACATTTGTTAACATCTGTTTTATTAACAAATGATTATCCTTTATGGATAATGGATGGAAAGGAATAATATGAGGAAAATAACAATACCGTACATAAAAGGATTATCAGAAAAACTTAAAAGGGTAGGAAATAAATTCAACGTTTCAACAACATTCAAAACAACAAACACGTTGAGATCTATTTTGTCCAAAACCAAACCTAACAATGAACAAGAAAGGACAAAGAATTGCATTTATAAAATACCTTGTGAATACGATCAGTTTTATTTAGGTGAATCATCAAGGCCATTAAATGTTAGAATAAGTGAACATCAATCTTATATTAAAAATAGAGAATTTGATAGATCTCAAATATGTAAACATAGGGTTCAATGGAATAATTCAAATGTAGTCCTAAAAGAAACGGATGGTAAAAAAAGAAAAATCAAAGAAGCGGCTCTAATTATGCTAAATGAGGCCAATTGTGTCGCAAATTCCTCGGAAGAATGCAGTAGGATCTGGTTACCAATATTGAAAGAGGAAGTTATTAATAAGAAAATACCAGTACTAGTAAGTCTTATAAGTCTTGTAAGTCTTATAAGTACATATAGAGGATACATCATTTATGTTTTTTAAATAGCGTAACATATAAAATCAGAATTTTGATGTTTGTTGAAGGTAAACTAAATTCACGAACAAATACTTACAATGTCGGGATAGTATTATGAGGTTTTTTTCCTGGTTTTTCCATCATAATTTACTATGAATCACTAACAGGAGAATTTTACTGTCATCATGTCATGTGTTTGTCTTTTTAAAGACGAATTACATGCTATGATTTTTTTCTGACGGATATTCTCAAGTTAAAGTTGATTTCATGTAATCGAATGAACTATCTTATAAGTAAAGTCGTCCCAGGAGCGCAACTCAACAATATTGGCAATATCATTTTAAAGTCATCTACTTTAAAATGCATAATGTATGTCTGAATTGTCAATATAAATGAGTCAGATAAAATTAAATTATTCGAAGAATTTTTCACTATGTAACAAAAAAACAAAATTTGTTTAATTTACTGTTCGTATTTTGAGAACGATTTCCGAAGTGAAAATTAAAACGTCAATTAACGTATTTTTATCTTTAATTGTGGCTTATTCCCAGTTAAATAGTAATTAATTTACAATGCCACAAGAAAATAGCTTCAGAACAAAATTATAGATTATGTTACCACAAAACAAGAAACAGACATACAAGTCAAAGATGTAAGAGTGTTGAGGGTCGGAGTGCGGAACTGGCCACTATATGGTAAGATCAAAATGTTACCTAGAGTATCGAACGCAACCGCTACATCGAAATGACAACTAACCAGCACAATCAAAACCACTGGAAATGAATCCACCCAAATACAATATTGATGCACTGCGTAACGACTTAACATCATTTGTACATAAGTTACGGCTTAGCCAAACATTAACTAACCTGATCTGGTCTTCAGCCCAAAATACCTACCTTCTTCTATTTCTTGTGCCACTCCTATCGGAGATTGAAAATCATCAAGGCTATCCTGACCTTGTTTACAGCTGACTCAAATTACACAATCATGACATTCTTCTGCGGCCTGGGTTCTGTTTTCCTTCTGTTTTTCCTTGCATTATATTTTAAAGTAATGCGTATTTATGTCCTCTCATCAGGTGACCCACATATTCGAGTTTTCTTCGTTTGATCGTTGACAAAATTTCTGGGTCTTTTCCTATCCTTCGTATTACTTCAAAGTTTGTGACTCTTTCAACCCAACTTATCTTCAGCAATCGTTGGTAGCACCATATCTCGAAGTTTTTAATATTTTTTATGTTCTGTTTGAGAGTTCAGGCCTCTACACTATATAATAGTGTGTTAAATACGTAGCCCCTTAGCATTCCTAATCGTAGAGTGATGCTTACACCTCTGTTGCAGAATAATTTTCTCATCTTTAGAAAGGTGGCCTTGGAAATTTCGATACGTCTTTTTATTTCATTATTTTGGTCTCCAGTTTCATTTATTAAAGTCCCCAAGTATTTGTAACTTGATACTTTTTTTAATTTGAATGCCGTTCATACTAATATGTGCTGGTTGTGTCATGTTTTTACTGAAGACCATATACTTGGTTTTTTTGATATTGATATTTATGCCATATTTGTTGCAGGCAATATTTATATTTGTAAATAATCGTTGTAATTCTTCTACTGTTCCTGCAACTAGTACAGTGTCATCTGCGTATCGAATATTATTTACAACCTCTCCATTTAATACGATTCATTCGTTGCTTGCAAAAGGGTTTTACTATAAACATTAAATAGCAGCGGTGACAAAATGTATCCCTGTCGTACTCCTTTACGTCATTCTATTGCTTGTAATATATCATTCTCTATTTTGATGTTAGCTTTCTGATTCCAATATAGATTGGAAATTATTCGCATATCTTTATTATTCATGTCCTTTCTTCCAAGAATGTCTCTTAGCTTATCATGGCGTACTCTGTCAAACGCTTTTTCAAAATCGATAAAACATGCATGTACTTCCTAATTAACGTCTAGGCATCTTGTGTAAGATCATTCATTCATTCAAACTTGAATCCAACTTTTGATAAACTCGGCTGTAGATGACTTTTAAAAATATCTTTAGTAGATGGCTCATTAAAGATATCGTTCGATGTTCTGAACATTATTTTGCATTGGATTTCTTTGGCAGTGTAACGAATGTAGACAACAGCCACTCTTGAGGTATAATACCAGTTTTGTATATTGTGTTAAATAAGTGCAATATTATACCTATTGAGTAATCATTCAAGACCTTTAGTAATTTAGTAGGAAACTTATCAGGTCCATTTGCCTTTTGAGTTTTGGAATTTCTAAGTGCCACTTCTACTTCACATTTTAGGATTCCAGATCCCATTTCACCATTTACCTGAACAAATTTATTTCTGTTATCCTCAAACAATTCTTTTATGTATTCACTCGTTAATTAAATTTCTCTGTTAAAACTATAATAATCACTTCGTCTTTTTTCTCAAGCACATTTATTTGATGTCTTCTTTGAGTTCCTGTAATTTCTTTTACTTTTTTATGTACATTGAATGTGTCATATTTTCTTTCATAGTTTTCCATTTCTACACATTGTTCTTCAATCCATAATTCTTTGGCCTTCTTAATTCTTTGCTTTATGTTCTTATCAACCTCTCTGCATTTTACGTCTTTCATCTATTAGTTCTAGTATGTCTGGTGTCATCCATACCTTGTGTTTCTTTCCAGATCTGCTTATGCGTTTCTTTCTGTAGTCTTCCAAAGCAATTTCTTACTGCTAACAAGTCTTTAGTATCTTGCCATCTGCAAACTATGGTGCCGTGGTTATTCACTCTGAATTCTGAGTCACCACCAATCAATTCCCCAATTGTATGCCATGATTAGTGTGACACCCAATACAATCATAATTTCATGTTCATCAGTAGGAATTCTTTTTTTTCTTGGTGTCGTTTCCAAATTTCTTTAAACGTAAATTCGTACAATGAGTAGTAGGTATGTCGAATGAGGCTCCTGGGAAAGACTTTTAGAAATATTTCTATTTCAGTGATGGTATGAGAAAAAGTACTTTTTTTCTGATGAAACCGAAAAACGTGGTAAAAACGTGATAAAACAGTTCCATCGTTATGAAACCAACTATCTGGTTGGTACGTACTTTCGCCTTCTTCGGCATTTTCGTTACTACTGCTTTCTTTTTCGCCTTCGTCACTTATCATCTGATTCTTTTCATCCATCTTATTGCCCTCGGAACCTGAATCTATTTGGTGATGCTCGCGTTCTACGTCTTCTTCACATCCTGATGGTTTGTAGTCTTCATTATCGGAACCACTAGTCTCAAAAGGATCGACTTCTGATTCAGTATCTCTGGCAAAAATGGCTGCCGCCTCCTCCTCTAGATCTTTCTGCGTCAATATCTTTCTACTCATCTAGAACAAAACAAGACTGTTGGGATACATAGAACCCACCATAAATGTCTGTTGGCACACATTTCACCCATAAAACAAAATACTAGTTTTATTGAATATAGTTACCTTTTTGTAGGTAGCTTCACTCACAAAATCAAATTCGCAACAACAGTAACAGCGCACAACTGTCCCTGTGGTAATCATCAACAAAACTACATAAGCACATTCCATTGAATATCGATCAACATCACAAGCAAACACAGAACGAAAACGGTTTGCAATGTTGCCGCTTACACAAATTATTCTTTCAAAACTGATGTTAAGTTCTTAAAAAGTCGGTTACTATAAAAATTCATGTAAAACGGTTTAGATTTAGCCCAAGAGACTTGATGATTTCATGACCGGGATACATACGTCCCCTCAGGCTCGAAAGGGTTAATATTGCTCTCCTAATGTTTTCTAAGTGGTATATTTCTGTTTAGACATTAACTACTTCTGACTTATATATGTTGTTCTTCAGATGTTTCCGTATTTCTTGTTTATCTAGACCAGAATATCTTTTGGTAAATGTGATTAGTTTTAGAATACGAATAAATTTTTATAGATTATAAAAAGAAATATGTCTCAAAACGTTTTTCGACATTGTGCTAATAATTTTATGAAAATTTTGAAAACAGTAATTCCAGTTTTTACCTAAAACATAAACATTTCTGTATATGGTTCGAAGTGATCAAATAAATGAGGAATTACGAATTACTACAGGATGGATTATCGCTTTACAAAAACTTCAAAAATCAACCAAATATAACTTTCTTAAACAAAAGAAATTAGGTCAAATGGATCTTACTAGAGTCTGATGTCGAGAATTTTATTAATTTCACGGAAATTTAATAACAGTGATTAAATTCGAGATGCTCCAATACTACGCACCGATTGCCAATAAGAATGTGATGCGGTTCTGTTCGAATCAATTACAATTAGGCCAAACAGAAATTTTTCTTTTCTTTCCTTTCATAACTTTCATTAGATATAATCAAGTCTAGACCGTGTTTAGTCAACTTACTATAACAATAACAAGCTAATCCGTTTATATTTTTAAAAATAATAAATATTCGTTTATTTTTTTTTCGTTTAATTTTATTAGAAAGAAGTATATGTTATTAAATCTTCCATTTTTAATAGTTTTAGATTTCTCAATCCATTTTGCCACGATAAATTAGTAACTTGTACTGTTTGGTAGAATACGAAATATATATTTAAAAAAAATACACTACAGTTGTGTACACATTAAATTAACAATTGAATATACCTACTCTTTACTCAAGGCAATTACTATTTTCAAGTTTAAAATAAGTTTATAAAGAAAATAAAAAATAAACTTATTTTAAACTTATATTATGTTCTATTCCCAACGAAAATAGTAATTTCATTAAGAATACAGAAGAAAAAATAACTTCAGCACAGTATTCACTCGCGGCCCTAATCAAAAAAAAATTTGGTTAGGACAAAAATTTGTCGAAGCTTAAACCAGCTTTTAATTTCAAACAGGGAATTCCTTTTATTGCGACTTTTTTAAAATACAGAATACAACAACGAGGATTCAGACCCGGCAAATCTTGCACCAGTCAAGTCCTCGCACTAACAGAGCACATTGAAGATTGCAATGAAGAATAACTTACAACAGAGGCTACTTTTGTAGATTTGACACCAGCCTATGACACAGTAAGGCACAAAACATTGCTCCGCAAATTATATGTTCCTCTCAATGATCACCATCTGGGTAAGGTCGTATATTCTTTACTGCAAAACAGACGTTTTTTCGTTATGCTGGAGGGTAAAGTAAGCAGATGGGGAGTTAAAAAAACGGGCCTCCCACAGGGAAGTGCTTTAGCGCCAATGCTCTTCAATATATATACAAACGACCAACCTACGTTTATGCCGACCGAAACCAAACACTTCCTCTATACTGACGATCTTGCAATGGGTGCTCAAGGATATAGTTTTGAATTAGTGGAGGAGAAACTCAAAACTGCTTTAAAAACAATGACAGCATACTCCCTGCAGAATTCCTTGAGACACAATCTATCTAAAACCCAAGTCCGCGTTTTCTGCGCAAAGAAAGAAAAGCGAAAACTCCAAATTGCATGAAATGGTAATACATTAAAACGCACAAACCAACCTATATATCTTGGAGTAACTCTGGACCGGTCCGTCACCTATAGACAACATTGCATAAAAACGAGAGGGGAAGTAACAACTAGGAACAGCATACTCAGAAAGCTAACAAGAGGTAAATGGAGTGCACGTCCTGGCGTTTTAATAACAACAGCACAGGCACTGTGTTTCTCAACTGCTGAATATACGTGTCCCGTTTGGAGTAGATCTGCCCACACCAAACAAGTTGATACTGCGCTAAATGAGATATGCAGGATAGTAAGGTGGTGCATGAAACCAACGACTCTCTTAAATCTATAAACAGCAGTGGATTTTGCAGAGTACATAGAGAAAATTAAACAGATCGCGGACGAGCGGCATACCCTATACTAAGCTTGAACACCACCAAAGCGACTAAAATCTAGGAAAAGCTTCCTTGGAACAGTGAAGGATGAACCGCCTGAGTATTTTCCACTTCCCCAGGTTCAATGGGCCGGCCAGACGCTAGACTTTAAAACGTGGAAAACCTTAAATAGGATAAGAACGGGGGTTGCTACAGTAAAATCAAACATGGCAAAATGGGGAAAAATAAACCAAGATGATGTGAACTGTGACTGTGGAGAAACACAGAATATGGAACATCTTCTTACATGCAGAAACTGTCCTCATCGATGTACCCTCGAAGATTTATGGCTCGCCAACAAAGATGGAACCGACGTAGCCCGATACTGGGCCGAAATTTTATGAATGACATGTCTGAACACGATAAAGTAAAGTAGGTTTTATATACAAAACGCACAACGAATACAGGGGTAATATAACATAACGATAGTCAGTAAGACGTCGGGGAAACGAAAAATGGAGCTGAGATTGGGAACCTGTAAATCTTAAAACTTGTACCGAGCTGAACCACTTTAGTTTACTTATAAATAATTTGACATTAGTTGAATAGTGTTGTGGGATTTTCTTAACCGTATAGTATTTGGATCATCTGAGCTAATTTGTATCGACACTGACTGAGAAATTTTGTACTTTGCATCTTTTAATACTATATTTTGTGCGTTGATAAAATTTTAAAAAAATGTTTGATGCATGTAGATGGGTTAAATGGGTTTTTAACTTTAGCTTTTGTAACTACATCTGTCTACTGAAACAGGATATAAACCGATAAAAGTTTCTTGTTGCGTTCTATGAGGACAGTCTCTATCAAAGAGCAAAAAGCTGTACCCCGAGTTAGAAACTTTTGCTCAATTTGGATGAAGTATTTTTCTAACAGTAGTAGTCGAAGTAATGTTATGACTTTCCAATTGTTATTTTGTCCGACACATTTATCTGACCAAATAATAAGTTTTTTTCTTGACCTGGATCAAGACGATTGAAGTTTTCAGGTATATAAAGCAGCAATGCTGACGCTATCTTCGTTATACGAAGAAAGTTGTCGCTGGTAGAAGATTGATGAGTGAGTTGGATTAGGCCAAAAAACAACTTGTTGTAAACATATCATGTTGTACATAAAACGTACATAGAACGACATAATAACCATTTACTTTTGCAATTTCAGTATCTTGTCTTAATCTTTTGTAAACTGCTTCCGCTCGCATATGATGAATTTTACTTTCAATTTCTATTTTCTTTCTTTCACATTTATCGCTGCTATAGCAGAAGAAATTCTGGTAAAGAGCTTGTCACAATATGAACAAGTATCTGATCTGGGAAGTCCAAAATGCAAGGTGAATTTACTTTTAAAAATGTCGTGGTAGGTTCGTAGAGAGATTTTTGTATCAGGGTACATTTTTAGAAATAATCTGTACATTTTTGAGATGCAAGTCAGCTGGAAGACAACTTTTAGGAAAAACATTTTTGCTATAATGATTTTCTTGCTGCGAAAATGACCTTATATGTTCGGATATTTCCCTGCATTAGATATCATGAGTTTTTTGGGAAGATTAGTATGTTTGCCACGTTGATCATTTAGATTTACTCCTGCTTTCATTTTATCAACAAGGTACTGGATTCTTCTAGCGTTATTAAAATATATAACACATCGTTGCTTTACATACCCTTATGTTTTCTACTGTATATTTCACTGTACACCGACGACGAGATGTTGCTTCCCCAAACTTTCTTCTTTTTGGCTCTTGCAGCGAAACAGACTGAGATAAAAATTTTGATTGGCCATTGTAACTCAGTTCTCTAAACGTTTTGAATAGTTTTGCGTGATTGCCCACTAATAACTCAGCAGAACAATTCTTAGCAGACTGTTTACATTTACAAACACGCACCTAAAATAAATATTGTTTTAAAACAGGAAATTAGTTTAGATTACTTTAACTTACTTCATCTGGCCAACTTAGAGCTTCTTTGGCTACTTCTATAGACGAAACGTACGAATCACCGCGACTTTTCTAATATTCTGCTTCCACTTATCAATGTTAAGCTTTCGTGTTTTCCCTCTGTTAATTTGAGTAACCACTGACTTGGTTATACTAACATCCATTTTAGCTCGAAATAACAAATTACCCGATTGAAAACGTTGACTTACAAAACACGTGCAGAAAATTTGGCGCGAAACACAAACCCAATTTAACACATACAACGTTATTATATCGAAAGTTGAAGGTTGACTAATTTTCAAACTATCAAAACAGGTAAGTTAAGTTAAGTCTCATAATATTCCCCACAGTCAACAGTACATTATTTAGCACATGCAGTATGATGCAAATGTATGGAATAAATTCATTATTTTAAAAACAGACTACTTTTAAAAAAAATCTTAAAACACAGTCCATTTTAATTTTTGAATGACCATCAACTGACATATATGTGTTGGACATTACGTCATCAGTGTCGGCGTAATGACGTCGTCGACAATTTTTTTAAAAACAAACCGAGGTCACGCGACAACTCATTTGAAAGGTCTTTTTATCGCCTTTGCAACGATATAATCATTTGAATATTTATTTCTACAGAGTTAACCAAAACTGTTGGTTTATTAATACAATTAAATTACAATAAATGTTTACTTAAATACAATTAAATTATAAGAAATGTTCAAATTGACGACCTTCAGCAATAATACAATGTGAAAGATGGGCAATAAATTCTTTCCTAACGTTTTCGATGACTTCAGGTGTTATTTGTCCAATTTCCGTTCTGACGCGCTCCTTTAACTCTTCTACATTATTCCTTTAATTTTCATACACTCTACTCTTTAAATATCCGCACAAAAAAGTCTAACGGAGTCAAATCTGGAGACCTTGATGGCCATTGGGTGGGCTCCCTTCTACCTATCCACCTACCTGGGAAAACGTTATTAAGGTAATTTCGTACCTCAACGCAGTAGTGTGGGGGAGTCCCATCATGTTAGTACCACAAATTATTTTGGCCCAAAAAAAATGGCCCTATAATTTGACTGTTTATAATGCCGGTCTAAACATTCACCTTCTCGGGATATTGTGTCCTATACTCTTCCACCCAATATGGATTTTCACTTGCCCAATATCGATATATCTGGCGATTTATGTGTCCGTTCAGTCAAAAGACGCTTATCAGAAAAAAAAGTACCTTTTGTATGAAACCCCGACCTCTGTTACATTTTTCCTTAACCGTTTCGCAAAATTCGATTCTTCTATCAAAGTCATCTTCTAATAGCTCCTGGACCAGATGTGCTTTGTATGGCTGCTACTTCTCACTCCTTTTTTAGCACTCTTAGGACAGTTGATTGGTGGACATTATTATCTAGTGCGACCTGCCTAGAACTGGTATGGGGATTTTCTTGAAACGCCAGTTTCTTGGCTTCGGATATTGATTTTCTACCACTTCTGGGAAGATCCTTAACATGGCCCATTTATCTAATTTTTTTTCAATTTTAATTAGTGTTGATTGAGTAATTGGTTCGCGATTGAGGTATTTAGCATTAAATAAATTACGAACTTCTGCTTGAGTCCTCACTCCATCTCCATAACCAATCATGATTAAAATCTCGATTCGTTCTGTGTTTGTTAGTTTCATTTTTGTAAATGCTATTTTGTAATGCAGCAAAAAACTCGAAGAGTAAAAATTTGACGTCTATTATTTGACAGATTCATAGATCATTTACAAATAAAGACGAGTCAATGACAATATTAAAATTGATTTAAATATTTTTGAAAAATAACTTGGAATACTTACTACAATATTTAATTTCAGATTATAATGTAGCATTGTTTGTTATCAATGTATTTTTTTTAGAACCAGCAAAAACACTATTTTGTTTTATTCCCAGTGGCGTTTCTTAGTGTATTTTAGTTCAGTGAATGAATATTTATTGTAATTCCATGTTTACTTGATTAAGTTCATAATTTTGGTGAACCCTGTAAAAATAAATATAAGTGATTACGTCGTTGCAAAGAAGATAAGACTGATGACGTAATGTCCAACACATATATTATAGCAGTTGATGGCCATTCAAAAATTGAAATTGAAATGTTTTAAGATACTCACAGGCGTTACTCACATTATGAGTTAAGCGGCTGTGATACTGCGACAACAGCAGCGTCTGACCCAGAGTGGGCGGCTGCAAACAGCGTCTGTTCCCAGAGTGGGCGGCTGAAACACACTTACCAACCCGTCTGGCCAGCGTGGTGAGTTCACGGCCAATCTACCCCCCTCTTATGACAGATACACGTAAGAATTGGCCCTCAGTCCCCAGCAGCTCCGGAGTCACCTTCCAAGGCAATGGTAGGATCGAGGAAAGAGCAGAGGGTGCTAAAAATCCCTTTGTTTTAGAAAATTGCCAGAAAAAACGAAAACAAGCAACGAAACTGGATATTGCGACTTATAATGTCAGATCACTGATGAGAGACGAAAAGCTAGCCGAACTGGAAGAAGAAGTAAAAAAGATGAAATGGGATATATTAGGATTAAGTGAGATAAAAAGAAAAGGGGAAGCCTGTATGAAGTTGGAATCCGGGAATGTACTATACTATAAAGGAACTGAAGAAGAATCATTAGCTGGTGTCGGTTTTCTTATTTCTAATCAGCATGTCCATAAGATTAGACAATATATTGGTATTTCAGAAAGGATTGCGGCTCTAATAATGGACATAAATAAAAATATAAGTTTAAAGATCATACAAATTTACGCCCCTACATCATCACATACGGATGAAGAAGTGGATATATTCTACGAATCATTGACACAAACAGTGAACAAATACAAAAGCACCTACACAATCATTATAGGCGACTTCAATGCCAAATTAGGGAGAAAACTAGAAGAATCAGAAAATAAAATCAGCAACTTTGGATATGGAACACGAAACGGAAGAGAAGAAACATTAATAATTATATGGAAACGAACGGTCTATATGCGATGAATACCTTTTTCAATAAAAAACCACAGAGAAAATGGACGTGGGTCGCGCCCAATGGTTTAACAAAAAATGAGATTGATTACATCCTATCCAAAGAAAAGAGCATAGTACAAGACGGTACGGTCATAAACATGATTTCCGTAGGAAGTGATCACAGAATTGTTAGAGCCAAAATCAAAATTAACTCCACAACAGACAGACAAAAATTTAAACCATCTAAAAAAGAGATAGATACAGAACTTCTTAAAGAACGCAAAGAACAATACATAAACCAGCTAAAAAGAAGTGACATATCACAGCTAAAGGGTCTGCAACTAGACGAATTAAACGATAAAATAACAACAGAACTACTAGAAGCAGGCCTGAAGATTGCTAATAAACAAAAGCGAAAACAACAAAAAATTAGCGCTAAATCACAAGGTATGCTAAAAAAAACGACGACAACTACTGAACGATAACAAAAGAAATACAGTGGAGTATACCGAACTGAATAAAACCATAAGAACACAGATAAAGGGAGATTTAAAGAAATACCAAGAAGACCGCATTAAGAAAATCATAGAGAAGAACAAAAGTTTAAAAACAATGAAGACAAATATAGGAAAAAGAAAACTAATCATGCTTAAAGCTGAGAACAATGAAGAAAGAGATCTAGGAGAAATAGTAAAAATCACAGAAAGATATTACACAGACCTATACAGTTCTAAAAATGACCCATCACTATCATCTAAACAGAATCTCACGAGGAAAATACAAAATGTTGGCTCAGAGGTATTACCAGAAATAACTGAAGATGAAATCGAAAAATCCATAAACGACATGAAAAGAAATAAAGCGGCCGGTGAGGACAAAATACTGGCGTAACTGCTAAAAGAAGGAGGAGACACGATAAAGAAAATGCTAAAAATACTGTTCAACAACAAGCTTATAAACAATATAAGCAAGGTATATAACTCCTGTATCATACCGGTGCTCACCTACGGAGCACAGACATGGACATTTACACAGGCCAATTTGGATAGGATAAGGAAGGCACAAAGAGCGATGGAGAGACAAATGTTGGGTGTATCACTTAGAGATAGAAAACGTAACCAGTGGATCAGAACCAGAACAAAAACAGTAGACGCGATAGAACAAGCAGCAAAACTGAAATGGAAATGGGCTGGACACAATGAACGTCTCCAAGACGGACGATGGAACAATTCCATCGGAAAGTGGCGTCCATACAATGCAAAGAGATCAAGAGGCAGACCACAGATGAGGTGGAAAGATGACATCAGGAAACAAGGAGGTCCCACATGGCAGAGAACAGCTCAAGATAGGGAAAGATGGAGAGAACTGGAGGAGACCTATATCCAACAATGGAAGGATAGAGAATAGGTTTAAAAAAAAAGATTTTTTAAAAGTCGTTTGTTTTTGAAATAATGAATTTATTCCATACATTTGCATCATACTGCATAAAACGTTGTTTCATGAAAACTTTCATATGAAAGTATTGGCGGTAATAAACTAAATACATAAAAAAGGCCGCAACCGCGAATCCTACGGGCAACTGAAAATGATTGCAGCTTTTAATGTTACAGTCTTTCTTTTATTTTAATAAAACCATTTACTCAATAAAATTATGTAGTTCTATAAAGACGATTTTGTATAGGGTAAATTATAGGAAAAAGAGATAAGTACTAAGTGAAAGTCCCAGAAATAGATTCCAACTCTTGTAATCGATGCAATCATAAATGGTTTTTGAAAAGCTTGTTACAGATGAAATTTAAAATGTAGTTCAAAACAATTTAATTCTTATCCATTATTAATTCATCAAAAATATTTCTCAGTCTTATCTGATTTGTAACGAATGAACTGAGAGTAAATAATACCTTGTTACAAAATGGGTAGCAATAGAAAATCATTCACATTAACCGTTTTCTTATAAAGTAACACCATCAAGTAAGTGCACATCAGAGAACATTGGATATTTCCCACGTTTTGTAATACCCGTATTACCCAATATAATAACGATCCAACAAGAAGAAATATTAATACAGCTTATGCAACAACGTTTAATTTAGTCTAGTCTTAAATCTTATATCATATTTCCTTGTCGGCGTACTAAGATGTATAATTATTTTTAAACATAATTTATTTT